AAAAAACACAAATGTGCACCTGGGCACATGGGGGCAAAATCACCGGGCTGAGATAGAGGGGCCTTCAGTGTGCCGGGAGGAACGTGGGAGACCGGCCAAGGCAGGCGGGGCCTCACAGCACTGCAGGAAGAGGGCCCGAAGTCCTCCATCGGCAGAGGCCAACTGCCTTCACCTTCACCTGGCATCAGCAAACGGCCTTTCAGGAGAAAGAATGAGATAAAATAACGGTGGCCATGTAGACAGACAAAGGAGACCCTGCAGAGTCTCACCAGTGTCTTCTGAAGAGCATGTTTCCCTCAGAACAAACCGACCTGGAGATAGGGACTGAGTCCCAAGAAGGAATGGCGGCTGAAGACATGGGCACAGGTGACTCCAGACGGTCGCATGACACAGCAGTGATGCCCAGAGGGTGGGACGGATGGAACCGTGCTGGGCAGCCTGCTCGGGAGGGCAAGCCAGGTGACCCTGCCTGGCCTCAGGCTGGTCGGGAGTCAGGTGAGAGTCTTACCTGGAGACTTCACCAACTGCGTGGGGGAGGGCAGCGAGGAGCAGGCAGGACTCCCAAAGTCTGGACAAGGGTGGATCGAGCTGGTGCTCGCCGCGGTCCCAAGTCCTCGGGGTGCTGAGGAGCATCCCTTGAGCCCTGAGTTCGAGGCCAGCCTGGGGAACACAGCGAGACTCCAGACGAAATGGCCTGGGGCTGGGGCTCAGGGCAGAGCCCTTGCCTTACATGGGTGAGGCCCTGGGTTCCCTCCTCAGCACTGCACAAAAATGGACAAACAAAACAAAGACATTTTGCTCATGTATGATTAAAAATTATTAAAAAAAAAAAAGATGGACTAAGAAAACTAAGACAAATCCTGGTTTAAAAGAAGACAAGACAGTTAAAAAAAAAAAAAAGACAAGAAAGCCCAACAGTTAGAATCATTGAGGCAGAAATCAAGAAAATCAGCGTCGAATCCTCAAATATTTGAAATGCAGGCAGCCCAGGGATGTGCCAGCCCCACCTGACTCGAGTGGGGGATATTCCTCGTCTGGTCTCTCTGATAATGTCCATGTGGCCGCTGCCCACAGCATGGACTGGGGGCCTAATCCTTGCTCCATGCTGCCCCCAGCGCTGACCCAGCCCTTCCTGCTGCCCCTGGGCGAAGCATCACACAGCAGGACGCAGACTCCAAACCTCAGCTGCAAACCTCTCATCTGTGAAACAGACGTGATCCCACTCTGCGGTGTGGTGGAGTTAAAGGAACACAGAGCACTGTCCTGCAGTGGTCAGGGGACCCCTGCTGCTGTCGGGCACTGTGGTGAAACGTGCAGAGACGGCTTGGTCGTTGAATGAGGGGGGCGTTACGTCAGCTGACTGAATCTCCGCTGCCGGCTCTCAGACTGGAGGGAGGCCAGCTCTGCAGAAGGCCCGCCCCAGACACCTGTCTCTCCCTTCACAGGAGCTAGCAGCAGTGGCCTGAGAGCCACCAGCAGCTGGGGTGAAGACAAGGCGCGGCAGGTGATGGGGTGCTGCTAGCAGTAGACAGAAAGGGGATTCCTGGGTGGGGGTCCAGTGTGGGTGACCCTGAGGACGTGGTGTAGAGTGAGTGAACCGTCACTGGAGGACAAATGCTGCGCACCTCAAGTGCCAGGAAGCAGGGTGTGCACCGAGGAGGGGAGGGGCAGCAGCGGATGGGGGTGTGACAGGTCCCAGTGCCCACTGTGCCTCCGATGGCCGTGCTGCACTAGACACCTGAACGTGCAGTAAGCGGGCAGATCTCATGTGGAGAGTTCCTACTGCAATTAAAAGAAAAAGTCCCCATCTAGCAGAGTGCACTGTGAACAGCAGCCCCCCAGCCCTGGGGGGCCCTCCCTCAGTTAGGTCCGAGTGTGCTGGTGGGAAACAGAGCCACGCCACCAGGTCCTGTCTGTGTCCACCCCAGGTGGCCCTGCTGGAGAGGGGAAGCCGGTCAGCAGGCCCTTCTCAGATGCGCAAGCCAGACATCACCTTGGCCACCTTTGTTTTCTTTTCAGACAGTTTTACTGAGTTAAAGTCCCCACCTAGAGTGCATGGCCCCCTGGTGGGGCCCCACCAGGCTCCTGTCTGAGCCCAGAAGGAAACCTGGGGCCTTAAGGGTCATTCCTCAGCCCGCCCTGGCCCAGGCAGCCCTGAACTTCTTTCTGTCCCTGTGGTATGCCTGTCCGTGTCACGAGGTGGAATCACAGTAGGTGCAGCAGCCTCTGTGGCTGAGCTCCGCCCGTGCGCCCAGACAGCACCAGGGCTGTGGTGTCGGCCACGGGCTGCGCAGCCTGCGGCTTCCCAGGCACATGCCAGGTGGGGCTGCTGGCCTAGGTCGTGTGTGCTGGGGACTGCGGCTGTCACCAGCTCTCCGGCTGGGCCCCACTTGGTCCTTGGTCGCGCCTCTGCACTGCAGGCTGGTGCGGTCCCTGTGAGCAGCTGTGCAGCTGTGCCTGCCCGTCACCTTCACCTTGAGAAAGCTGGGTTGGGAAACTTGTTAATATAAGTCCTCAAAACTTAGTTTGGGAAGAAAATTCTCCTCTAGTGAAAATACTGGCCCTGCAGGCACTCCCAGAGCACGCAGAGACTGCGGGGGACACGGCTGCCTGCACAGAGGCGGCCCTGCCACGGTCAGGGCTGCACAGTGCCAACTCCGTCCTCTGCCCCCAGAACTGGTCATGCTCCTGGAGTGGTGGTCCTGCACGGAGTGCACGCTGTTCACCGACCAGGCCACGGTGGACCGCTTCGGGAAAGAGCACGTGGTCATCATCCTCAATCACAACTTCGAGATCGACTTCCTCTGTGGGTGGACCATGTGTGAACGCTTTGGTGTGCTGGGGGTGAGCAGGGGCCCCAGGGAGGTGTGCTGGGGGTGAGCAGGGGCCCAGGGAGGTGTGCTGGGGGTGAGCAGGGGGCCCAGGGAGGTGTGGGGGGTAAGCAGTGGGGTCCCAGGGAGGTGTGGGGGGTGAGCAGTGGGGCCCCAGGGAGGTGGGGGGTGAGCAGTAGCAAGGTGGGTGGGCTTTCCTTCCTTGGAGATTTTCAACCCTGGTTCCTCGGAGCTGGGCGGTGAGTGGCTGGTTCGCAGGGCCTGTCTGCAGGATGCCCTCCCGGTCCCCACCTGTCCTGGAACTAGCTGTCAGCTCATTTCTCATGGTTACCTTCTCCTATTGGACGATGGCACTTGAGCTTACGGAATTGCTCTCACTAGCTGAGTGGCTGCAGACAAACGCAAACACCACTGAGGCAGGATGAGGGGGTTTCATGGTAGCAAAAGCCTCTGTCAGTCTCAGGAAGCGATGGCACATCTGTGCCTCCAGGTGACACTGATTCAAGTCACATACACTTGCAAGGTAGGGTCCCCAAGAATAGCACATGCTTTGAATCAGGAAAGCCACAACTGCAGAGCAGGTCCCTGGGGCAGGATTGCAGCTGGCCTCATGCTGCCCTGTGGTCTGCCCCCCACCATGTACTCCATGGCACCCCCCCCCCAGAGCTCCAAAGTCCTCGCTAAGAAGGAGCTGCTGTACGTGCCCCTCATTGGCTGGACGTGGTACTTCCTGGAGATCGTGTTCTGCAAGAGGAAGTGGGAGGAGGACCGGGACACGGTCATCGAGGGGCTGAGGCGCCTGGCTGACTACCCCGAGTACATGTGGGTGAGTACCTGGTGGGCAGGGACTCCCAAGGGGCTGCCCTGGCGGTGACAGCTGGCATTCGTAGCCTGCCCCTGTCCATTCCAGCAGCCCAAATCACAGTTGTTAGGCCCCAGGGGACCTCCTGCTCTGGTGGTGCAGACCTGGGGGCTTCCCCAGGGAGGTGGGGTGGGGTTTCCGCCACCCCACCCCCTACAAGACCCTCCCCAAGCCCGCAGGCCCTGCTCGGCCTGTGCCCTTGTCTTTTTCTACATCTTCCCTCTGTCTGTTCTTGGAAGCCTGGCTCCTTATTTAGTATGTCTAATGCCCAGGCTGTCAGGGGTGGACAGACCTTCTCCACCCTGCTCAGAGGCTGCTGCCCAGAGATGCTTTCAAGTTTCACTTCTTTCTGGAGACTTCTTTCAGGAAAGCTGGGCTGCATTCCATTGCAGCTGGAAGGCAGGGTGCAGCCCTAAAATAAAATTGCATTTCAAAGAACACACAGCTTGTCACCAGAGTGGTTCTGTGTCTGATTCTACCAAGTCAGCAGCAAGTGCTTCGCTGTGGCTCAAGGTCGCCTGAGACCTGGATCATGCTGAGCCTGACATTTCCAGGCTTCTGTTCCAGCCGCAGGCCCTGGCATAACCCTCTTGCCCCCATGTTCCGTGCCCTAGTTCCTCCTGTACTGTGAAGGGACGCGCTTTACGGAGACCAAGCACCGCGTCAGCATGGAAGTGGCCGCCTCCAAGGGGCTGCCCCCCCTCAAGCACCACCTGCTGCCTCGGACCAAGGGCTTCACCACCGCGGTCCAGTGCCTGCGGGGCACAGGTAGGCGCCCCAGGGCCGGAGCAGAGCCCTAAGAAAAGCAGGGACTTGTTCAGAACAAGCGTGTTTCCTGTATACACAGGACACCAAAGCATAAAGGGGAGAATGGAGTAGGTCTGCAGGTCACTTTCTGAGGTGATGAGATGCTAGGTAGTGGGAAGCAACTTTAATAAAGAATAATAAAATAAAATAATAAGAAAACGTATGTGGTGGCAGACTTCACGCAGGAGGACAGAGCAGCAATGTGTCTAGTTAGTCCCAAAGGCTGGAGGGAAAGGGAGACAGTAGGGACCCTGGAGCCAGGCGGGATCTGAGCCCACAGCTACAGTGGGGAGCAGGCTGCATGCTCTGTGGGTAGAACTGCCCAGTCGCTGTCCCTTGGGCAGCAGCACCACCCTGCAGTGTCCCTGTCCATCTGCTCACAAAACTGGTTTCTCTTCCTCAGTTGCAGCTGTCTATGACGTGACCCTGAACTTCAGAGGAAACAAGAACCCGTCTCTGCTAGGGATCCTCTATGGGAAGAAGTACGAGGCGGACATGTGTGTGAGGTGAGCACGCTCCCGCCCCTGCTCCTGCCAGGAGCCCAGGCTGCACAAGCCGCAGGGCACATTGCAGTGTCAGAGCTCTGCAACAGCCCTGTCCTACCTGAGCGGGAGGCCTGGGGGCTTCAGGCCATCCACTGGAGAACGTGGGACAAAGGGAGGAACAGAGGGGCCTGTGCGTCCCCAGCTGTGTCTGCCCTGGGCCAGCACAAGGCTCCTCTCCTGCCCCTCCCTCCACCCTTGGAAGCCCAGGTGGATCCCTAGGAGTAAAGCTCCCTGTCCCTCCCTGGTGTGCTGCAGGTCTGGCCAGGGTCAGAGGTCTGGAGCCCCAGGTGCTGACCACTGACCTCCTGTGGAAGGGTGAGAGCCAGGTCTCCTCCCTGGCGGGCTGTGGGGCCCCTGCAGAGCCTTCTGGTGGAGAACACCTGGCCCCTGAAGACTCCAGTCCAGGGAGGGCTTCAGCAGGGTCCAGGAAGGCAGGGCCTGTCAGATGCCGTGTTGGGCGTCAGGGCTTCAGAATACTGTGCCCAGCCCTGTCCTGTGAGGCTCAGGAAGGATGCTTCTGACCCCATTCACAGAGCGCCCCGTGCCATCGCCACTCCTTGGTGCCCCCAGTCTATGGCTCCTGAAGAGGAGGTGACCCGCCGAGCCCCGATTCGAGGCCTAGGTGTGTCTGAGTTAGCCACAGGTGTCGTCCCTGTGGCCTCCTTATCGGCCTCTCCTCTGCGTGAGGGGCCAGGCGGCCAGACGGTGCTCTGCCTCTTCTCATGGGTGGCCCCTGGCCTTCCCCAGCCTGGCGCTCTCCTGGTTCATGTTGGCTGTCCAGCCTTTTCTGATGGGTTCATCCTGGCCACTGACCTGGGAGATGGCATCTGCCGCCTTCATGTTAGCGAGTTTATAAAAAAATGCCAACAGCTCTTGTGTCCACACTGTGGGAAGGTCCCAGGGACAACTCGTGACCTGTACAACAGCTCGATGACTTTCCTGGCAGTTGGCAGGCTAAGTGAGGTTAGGGTCTCGTTGACCCTGGGGGTGCAAAAGGGGTGTGAGCCGGGCTCTCCTCCTTGTATTGCTAATCTCTGGCACAGGTATAGTGGTTCACCTGGGGCGCTGGTCAGTTCCCGTGGCCAGGTGCTCGTCAGCTTTGTGTCGCTGTACAAGTACCTGAGGTCATCACCTTATGAGAAGGAAAGGCTCAGCTCAGCTGCACCTCAGTCTTCACCCACAACTGGTGGGCCGCTGTTCCAGCCTGTGGGGAGGCAGGGCCCCCCACCAAAGGCCGCCCACAGCCCCCCGTGAGGTTCCCACCTCCCGACAGCCTCCCTGCAGTCCACACCTTGACAGCTGGGTCTTTGGGAGACACTCGAGACCCAAGCCCTAGCTCTAGGCTGGCGCCCAGACGAGGGTTGAGCCTTGGTGGTTCTGTCACCCTGGCAAGGAGCCCTGGGGGATAAGTGGCAGAGACTGTCTGGGCAACTGCCCAGGGCCAGAGCTGCTAGGTCGCCCCCTCCAGGGCTCAGCCTGGAGCGGCCGCCTTGGTCTGCCCATTGCCCTTCGTGGGGTCTGTTCTGCCGTCCCACTTCAATAGCTGGGTCCTGAGAGCCCCGGGGCTCAGTGGGCTGGTCCTGGCCATGTCGTCCTTCAGAGCAGCTCCATCCAGCGGTCCAGCGTCCCCGCCCTGCAGGGCGCAGGTCTTCATGTCACTCCACAGGGGCTGAAGTCTGGGAGCTGTGGCCGGACCTCTGTTCTCTCTGCTTTCTGCTTTTCACTGTTAGTTTGAAGCTATGATACAGCTGACTTGGCCCCCGTTAAGTCCACCTGAGCCTGGTTGGCTCTCAGGGCAGCTGACCTGTCCCCACATGCGGCTTCAGTGCTGCTCTTCCTTGGCCAGGTGACCATGCAAAGCTATGGCGGAGTTGAGCAGAGGTACAGCTGCCCCCTGCGAGTGACGCGGGTCATCTCCTCTGCTGCCCTTCTGCGTGCCAGGACTTGTGCGCCTTCCCAGAGGCGGGGAGCCAGTCCTGGGGCAGAGGCCCCTCCTGCCTGTGCCCTGGTGAGACAGGTGTGGCCCCTCCCACGGGCCACTGCTCCTCCTGCTGATGAACACAGAAGAACTGAACGGTCTTTAACGGGATCTTAGTGACTTGTACTTTCTATTTATTCAACGTCCAACTTACCTTCAACATAGGAGCTGTGGTCTGTCACATATGGAGATTTCTCCAGTTATGTCAGGCTTTACCTGCGTACCCCTCTTCCCCTGCAAACGGCCCCAGGGCTGGCGACGCAGGTGTAGATTTGGATGCAGCAGGTCAAGACTCCACCTGAAGCAGCTGTTGGGAGGCTAGTTTAAAGCTGCTCTGTTTCTTAATTTCCACATTTGAAGCAAGTAGGTTCCCCTTGTGAAGAAGTGACCTTTCCCTAAGGAAAGATGTTTTCACTCAGAGAACAAGCATGTCGCTGGGTGCAGGGGTGCTCGCCTGCAATCCCAGCAGCTTGGGAAGCTGAGGCAGGAGGGTTGAAAGTTCCAAGTCAGCCTCAGCAACTTACCAAGACCTTAACAACTCGGTGAGACTCTGTCTCTAAATAGAATATAGAAAAGGTCTGGGGACATGGCTTAGTGCTCCTGGGTTCAATCCCCAGTACCAAAAAAAGGCGGGGAATGGGGGGCTTGCTGGAAGACCCAGCCTCCCAGGAAGCATAGTTAATGTGAGGTGGCCTTCACAGGCGACGGGCTCGTGCTCTGTGGCTGGGTCACTTGTGGTTGTCCCCAAGCCTAGAGGCATCCCTCGGCCTCTCTGGGTGCCCAGCAGAGTCAAGACTGCAGTGGACTTACAGTGTGTGCCTAAGAACCGGCGTCGCCTGTCACTCACTCTGCTCTTGGTCCCAATGAAACAGGAGGTTCCCGTTGGAGGAGATCCCTCAGGACGAGAAGGGGGCAGCGCAGTGGCTCCATAGGCTGTACCAGGAGAAGGTAAGGACATCCGCTCCCCTGGGCCCCGTCTCCTGGGCAGGTGTCGGGCCGGCGAGGAAGGGCATCCGGCGGCTTAGAGCACAAGCTCCTCACGGGCTTTTGGTGCTCTTCTTTTTTCTTCCCTTTTCCTCAACTTCTGAGATGTTGACTAGAGAAAAAGGAGAAGGATGACATCACGTGCACGTAAGCATGCTGAGACTGTCTCATCACACCTGTCCTTTGTACGTAAAACAAATTCTAGGTACGGACAGAGACACTCAAGTCCTGGATGAGAAACAGACAATGCTAGAAGGCTCTTATGGGAACCACCCATGTCCTGTTCCCATCCTCCACAGCGCCTCCCCCAAACCTGCTTCCATGCACTTTGAGCACACAGTACCTGGGATGTTGGGTCTCCATTCTCAATGTGCTCGGTAGTCACTAGAGAAATTCCTGGAGCCTTTGAAAAACAGCATTTTAAATGCCCTGATAGGTTCTTAAGAAAGTAAGGGAAATCTCTGGGGACCCAAAAGGGAGACGGAACTGAGCACCAGGGTGACCAGCCCACACACCATGTTACAACCTGGCTGCAGCATCTCCTCTGACTTCCGTGCCCTCAGCCTGGGCATGGGACTTGTGCCAACAGGCAGCTCTGGAAGCATAAAAAGCGATTCCAAGAGAATCCCCTGGAGAAGCTGAGAGAAACCAGCACCACACTGGAGGAGCATGACCCAAGCCACGCCGTCTAGCTTCGCATGGAGGAGACTCCGCAGAGATGAGCTCCTCACTCCAGTCCAGGCACCAGGAGAGCCAGACCTCCTCCAGCCCAGCAGGCTGGGAAGCCACAGCCTCGACAGAGACTGACGGGCGAGCAGGGGGACGCCCACCCAGGAGGAGGGTGTTCAAAATGAGAAGCACAAGAAAGAAGGGAAGGGGGAGGACGAGACCTGGGAAAGGAGGGGAAGGGCCATGGGAAGGCCTGAGAGCAAGCAGAGGAATGGCAAGCGGCCAGAGAGGGCAGGCACTGGACGGGCGTGAGCTGTGCCCAGGCTCCCCATGCTGAGCATGCACATGTGCACACATGTACATGCTCGTTATGTACAGATGCACCATAGAGCAAACCCAGAGAAAGTGACAAAAATGACGGCAGGAATTATTTAAACAGAAATTAAAGCTATAGAAAAGCAAGTGAGATACACCAAGAGCATTTTCCAAAGGAATATTAATGAGGTAGAAAACCTTAGGCAAGAGCAGTTAATGAGATTGTGGACTGAACAGGAATGTAAAAGGAGAGCAGGGAGGAATGAGGTGGACTCTGTGCCGTGTGCTTGGGAACTTGGAGAGAGCACATCATTTCTGTCAACCTCTCTTTATGATAAAAATGCTCCTCAACACAGTTAAGGCCAAATATGATAGCCACAGTGAGCACCATCCTGAGTGGGTGGAGACCGGAAGTCCACGGTTTGCCCTGAGGCCTGGGACGAGGCGAGAAGGCCCACCTTCACCGCCCTACCCAGCGTGGCCCGAGCACTTCGTCAGGAGAAGGAGAGAAGGGTCATCACGGTGGAGAGGAGGCAGGCCTACCCCATTTGCAGAGGGTGTGATCTCATGAAGAGAAAAGCCTAAAGACACCATCAAAACCGTTGAGATTGATAAATTCAGTAAAGGTACAGGATACAAGATCAACGTGTAGAAATCAGTATAGCTTCTATGCACCAGAAACGAACTAACTGAAAAAGAAATCCCAAGAACAGCCCAGTTTACAACAGCTACAAACAAAACCTAGGAATACACTTAACCAAGGAGGTGAAGAATCACTACGATGAAAACTGTAGAACATTTATGAAAGAAATTAGAGACATACACCAAAAACTAGAGACGTTCAATGTTCACAGGCTGGAGAATCAAGATTCCTGTGGGACCACAGCACAAACCAGCAAGATCAAGGTGGAGGCTGCAATGCCTTACTAACTTCAAAGCACCCTTCAGAGTCCCAGGGACCCAGACAGCACGGGCCCTAGGCCAGCAGAACAGGACAGGGAGCCCAGGAATAAGTCCCTGTGTTTTAGCGCCCTCACCGCAGGCCTCCCCTCGGAAGAACTTACATTGGAGCAAGGACGTTCTCGCCAATGAGTGGTCATGGCAAAGCGTTCTCCTCATATGGAAGACTAAAAGCAGACGCCTGTCACCACACACCAACTCAGAGCAGGTTGAAGGCCTCAGTATGAGCCTCGAAACTGAAACTGCTACAGGAAAATACAGGGGAAATGACCTGAGCGTGTCCGTGGTTTGGACATAAGCCCAGAAGCCCAGGCACCAAAGGCAAAGTTTGACAATGGGATTCCATTCAACTAAAAAGTTTCTGGACAGCAGAGGAAACAATCAGCAGAGGGAAGAGATAACCCAGAGGGTGGGAGAAAATGTATTCCAGCTATTACCCGAGAAGGATCGATAATCCACAGTACTGTCATTCAAGCAGTTGAGTACGAGGAAAAGAATCCAGTTTAAAAATGGGCAAATGATCTGAAAGGATGTGTTTCAAGAGAAGGTCTGCAAACGACCAACGTACATGAAAACATGCTCAGCCTCACTAATGTCCTGAAGCGCAGATCAAACCACAGTGGCATCTCGCTCTAGTCAGGACAGCTCTTGTCAACAAGCCTGTTGTTGAGGATGTGGAGAGGGGACGCTCATACACTGTTGGTGGCAACATAAATGGTACAGTTGTTATGGAGAACACTACGAAGAGTCCTCGGAAAACTAGGCATAGGGTGGCGGGCGGCTCAGTTGCAGGGACGTCCTAGAACACATGAGGCCCAGGTTCCACGGCCAGCCCACGAGGCAGGGAGGAAGGGGGGACTTGAAATGGCACCATGCAGCCTCACACCCACCCCTGGTCTATCACAGTGCTCATCAAGTAGCCAAGATGTGGGATGGACCTAGGTGTTCCTCAGTGGATGTACCCAATATGACAATACTCACCCTAAACACTATTACAACCCTCATTTGAGTAACAGAGATGGAACTTGAGGACAGGGTGTTAGTTGAAAAAAGTCAGGCATAGAAGGACAAATACCATGTGTTCTCACTCAGATGTGAGCTCAAACAGAAAGCTCAGAGGTAGAGAGTTCTGAGATGCTAGGGAGGCAGGGGATAAGGAGGGTGGAGAGAGGATGCGCGCAGATGGATAAGAGACACCCTACCGCCAGCACAGCAGTGATTAATTATGTGTTTCACAGTCAATAGTAGAAAGGTTTTGACTGTTCCCACCATGAAGAAATGATAAGTGTTTGAGTGACGGATGTGCATGTCCTGAGCTGGTCATCACACACTGCGTGCATGCACTGAGACCTCACTCTGCGGCCCATAACCGTGTCCTCCAAAATGTGAGGGCCAAGTGTGGGCCCCTAAAGCAGCATGACTCTCACAAGAAGAAAAGACAAATGGAAATAGTGTGTCCTGCATCCTGGAGCTGCACGGCTGTGTCTGTCTGGTTACACCAAGTGCTAAGAAAAGTGCCTCTGGTCTCAGGTCACGATTTGAGCCTCTGGAACTCCTAAGTGGAGTGACGCTTGCCAGCAGCAGTACTCGTCAGCAGGAAGTTAGAAACAACCCAGAAGTTCATGATTAGGAACAGTTACGTCATGTTCGTCGGTCCGTTTGATGTGACATGATAGTTAAAATGAATGAACTAAATGTGCTCTCAGCACAGCTGGATCTTGGGAATGTGCCTGTGGAAAGCTCCCAGGACGCTGTGGAACCTGCAGGCAGCGCCGGGCACCTCTGTTCACGCACACAGGGCATGGCGACGCGGGTGAGCCAGGCACAGCCCTGTCCTCCACCTCTGGCCTCTGTTGTCTAGAATAAGCTGAGACCAGTGCAAGTGGGAGTTCTGACAAGGGACCCGGGCTTGGGTTTCACGTCGCCTGCAGTTTTCCTGAAGGTGTGACGCACAGTGACAGCACCCTCAGTTGACTCTCAAGTCCTTGTTTTGAGGTTTGCATCAAGGACAGTGCACCGCAGAGGGACACAGTGTCCGTGGCAGTCTTTTGTTTCTTTCTTCTTGGTCGCTGCTGTTTCTGAGGTCCCACGTGAGCAGTGTCCATTCGAGTGGCTCCTTTTCCTGCCTGTGAATGTTGAGGCCATTTGTACTCCTAACAAGAACAGTGCCAGGCTGCTATGTGTGTCCAGCACAGCTGCTCCTGGCCATGCAGGTCCTCCACGAGCGGCGGGAATGGGCACAACTGCAAGCCCGTGTTTGTTACCCCGCCCCCTATTTTCTATACCACAAAATACAGCAGAATAAAATTGAATGCGAATTGAAAATGAAAAGGAAATAAAGTGTATGGCGTCACACTCCCCAGGCAATTACTGACGTGCGCTGCATCTTTCTAAATTCAGGACTACACACGCTCATAGTCATGCATATCCTGTAATTTCAAGGGCATTGTTTGGCACTTTAACCTCTTCTGTCAAAACACTAACAATGCCACACGTGTCCCCTTCCGGATGTGGAGCTACCTGGCGGTGTGTGCTGGCTGCAGGGACCTGTTGTGGCAGACCTGCAGCTTGTCCCCTAGCCGAGCTCTGTGTGCAGTGAGCCCCCGTTGTCACTGTGGAGAGAGCCTGGACAGTGTTGTTGGTGGATGAGCTGTGGCCAGCTGCACCTGCATGCCACCCAGCTCATACCACCTCCACCCCTTCCATTAGCACAGGATGCCTCTCTGCTAACCAGGACCTTTCAGGGGCAGGCACCCCATGGTGGTAGTGCAAGACGTTCCAGGTCCAGGACCCCAGCAGGTCCCAACAGCTGCCACACCTCTCCTGTGGAGCGGCGGCCCTGCAGGGCGTGCCCCTCCCAGCCAGCCCCCTGCTTGCCGTCCTGCGGGGCAGCCTCTCTGGCTTGGCAGGCTGCTTCCTGGCAGCTTCCCGGTCAGAGGGCTGCGTGGTTTCTGGGACCACCGTGGTGCCATCGCTTGGCAGGACACCAGAGTCAGCTCTCGCTGTGGACGGTCCTCCTGCCTGAGCGAGCCTGACCCGTTCTCTCCCTGCCTCCAGGATGCACTGCAGGAGATGTACAAGCAGAAGGGCGTGTTCCCCGGGGAGCAGATCCGGCCTGCCCGGCGGCCGTGGACCCTGCTGAACTTCCTGTGCTGGGCCACTGTCCTCCTGTCCCCGCTCCTCAGCTTTGCCTTGGGCGTCTTTGCCAGTGGATCCCCTCTCCTGATCCTGACCTTCCTGGGGTTTGTGGGAGCAGGTAATGAGCACTACGGTAACAGCCCACTGTGTGGGAGTGTCCCCGCATGCCAGCTTCGGTGCCCAGGACTGGACGACTCATCCTGGTGGCCCTGTGGGGCTGTGGCTCTCACCCCTGAGCTGCAGGGTCAAGGAGTTCACGGGGTCATGTCCTCGGCCCACCGCTGCGGTACTTGCACTGAAACTGTCTGGTGAGGACACCATTGAGATGTCCCCAGTCACTGTGTCTGCATTCAGGCCCCTGGGGGCTGGGCTGGGCTGGTGGGCCTGTCCTGGATTACGTCTCCAGGTGCCTGCTGGACTTGGCCTGGCTGGCAAATGGACACCCACTGTGCATGTGCCCCTGTGGACTGTCCCTGCAAATGGATGGGCTTCTGTGGAGGGACACAGTGTCCACCTGCATGGCCCCTCAGCTGCCAGGCCCACTTCCCTAGGCGGCTCCTGGCGTGCCCTGCTTCTCCTTCAGGACAGTGGGGGGGGTCCTGAGAGGTGACTGGCCTCTGCCATGGGACAGCCCTCACTTGGGACCGCCCTCAGGGGACAGGACGCGGCTGGCTTCATCTGAGCATCCTGCTTGTCCGTCTCACCTGCTGGGGTTTTGTGAGGCCGTCTGTTCCCGCCTCTTAGGCCCTGCTCAGAGCAGCCAAGGCTCGTGGAGGGCAGGCCGGGCACCGCGCACGCAGGTCGGCTGCCTCTGCCCCTGCGGGAGAAATGCCTCACCCTCACCTGTGGCAGTGCAGCCCAGCCCCTGCCTGCGCCCAGTGGCAGCCCGGCTCCGAGCTCAAGGAGAAGCCGAAGCCCCCTTCCGTGGCCTCCCTGGATGGGGCAGGAGAGAGGGCTGGGCAGAGGAGGGGGCCCAAGCCTCGCGGCTCAGTGCAGAGCTCAGCCTGACCTCTTCTTTCTCTCTCCTGTTTTTCAAGCTTCCTTTGGAGTCCGCAGACTGATAGGAGTGACTGAAATAGAGAAAGGCTCCAGCTACGGAAACCAAGAGTTTAAGAAAAAGGAGTAATTAATGGCTGTGATTGAAGGCACATAACCCGACGTGGTATCAAATTAACTCAATTAAAAACAGAACAACACCCACAGAGCGAGGGGAAAGAGACACTTAGAAACTATTTTTCTTATTAACTGGTGACTAATATTAACAAATAAAACTTGAGCCAAGAGCAAAGCACTCAGAAGGCCTGCGGTGAAGGCGTGCGCTCCCAGCTCCCACGTGCAGGACCCTCCCGAGTCCCGGGCAGAAGCAGCTCCTCCCGGGAGCCCTCAGGGCTGGCAGGATGGAGGAGGCCCCTGGGGTGCTCCTCGGACTCCACCTCCAGCAGGGGCCTGGGCTGCTCTCTTCTTAAACTTTGGTGGAGGTTTTGGTTTTTATCAGTCATCTCGGGAACCCACCCTGGCCCTCCTCCTTGCGCCCCAGACACTGACTCTTAAGGAACTTTCTGCTGTCCTCCCCGTGTGGGGGGACGGCCCAGCCCCCAGAGCGCACTCATCCCACCCGCTTTGCACCTTGGCTTCTGGATGGTGGGAGGGCTCCAAAGAGAGTCCTTTCTGTGATCAGCACACACTGAATGTAAATCAGACTGGTTCCGAGCAGGCCCCATGTTGTGCTGCCTCCCCCGGGCCGGCTGCCCCTCCTCCTTAACCTGTGTGGAATTGCCTTCCAGCTCTTTTAAAGAGAGTGGGCTCCTGGCAGCTCCAGGGAATGCGGCATTCTCCTGTCCCTGTCCTTGTCTTCATGGCCACCAGGCTCTAGCCCCCTGGACCGGGGCTGGGCTAGAGGGTCATGCAGGGCCCACAGGTTAAGAGCCAGCCCTGTGGGGGCCTTGGAAGGAGGCCCTCCTTTAAAGGCACGTGGGGACAGCGGATGCCACCTGTGGGCTGACTTGATCTCACTAGCTGGCCTCTGGCTGGCCTTCCTGATGGAGGGGGCACCCTGTGTCCCGGGGAGGGCCTGCCTCTGTCCA